CCTCCAGCTTCTTTCACTATCACAGCACCACCTGCCACATCCCTATACATAGACACAAACGTCACCAATATGTTGAATGTTACAGCTTACAAGATAGAAAATAATTTATAAGCCTTACCAAGGGCCACCAAATTCAAGTTCGTAGAAGAGATCAAGCCTTCCACACGCCACTCCACAAAGATTTAATGCACAAGAACCACACATTCGAAGGGACCTAACCTGTAATATAAAGATCAAACCAATTTTTTTTAATTGTCGGAACATATTTTTAACTGAAAACTTGGATGTCTTGGTAGGTGTTGTGTAACCTTGAAAAGCAAGCTATTGATTCTCCCTGTTGTAGCATCTACAGTTAACTTATCCCGGTTCGTTCCGGCCTGCTCCAGTAAAATAAAATGTCAGTAACTTTTCCCAGTATACCGAAGAGATAAACAGAATAAGTGGATCAGCACATAGATAGGCATAAATCCACCTAGGTCAATAACAAATTTTCCAAATAAAATGTTGCGAGGAAAACAAATCTTTTATACTTCATCATAACATAACCACAATGCTCTGCAACAACCTATTGCCAGGTGTCATCTGACAACTTACAAGGAAGTTAGAGTTTCAATATAATAGGAGGCTGCTAGAGATTTGCAGGGAAGACAAATATATTGGCTAAGAATACGCAAGTTCCCCGAATTGGACAAGCAACAGAACCTGGCTTCCGTATTCATTTAATCGAACTGGTTTATCCTATTCACCTCTTTGTAGAACTCAGGACAAGCAAATAATCGAAGGTATGCTTCACCAAATATATGCTACTTCTGAGTTTACACAAACCAAGATGGAGGTTCAATTAATTGTAGTTGACGAACATTGTGAAAACAATTTAAATTTCAAGTTCTTATGAACCATAGTTACAGCAGAACAGATAAACTGAAGTAGTTCTTCGTGTGTCACATTTCGTTGAAAGATTTCAGCAGGGTTGCAATTGTAATCAATAATTAGGAGATGCTATCATTAAGCAAAGCAAATAAAGGAAGGTCAAGTACCTCTGTAGCAAGAAGAGCCTGCACGAGTTCAGACTGTGAAGATACTGCAGGTATTAAAACAAGGCAGAAGACTTGTTAGAGATCGATAGGTTTAAGCATGATGTTGTGAAAACTACACCATAACCAATACGCAACAATACCTTTGATAGGCTTCCCGTTGAGAAAAGCACCTTTCCCATCAATTGCAGTGAAAAGCTGCATTTCAAAAGCAAAAATCTTCTTACTAACTTGAATCATCAATTCAGCCAGAAACAATATAAATAAAACGAATAAGCACCTAAGGGTGTGGCCTAATGGTCAATGAAGTGGGTTGAGCACCATGAGGTCTCAGGTTCAAATTCCAGCAGAGACAAAACACTAGGTGGTTTCTTTTCATTTGTTCTAGCCTTGGTAGACAATTATCTGGTACCTATTGTTGGTGGGGGGTGGCAGGTATTCCATGGAATTAGTTGAGGTGCGTGCAAATGAAAGATCTATATAGGCAAAACGAACTAGTTGGAGATAAAGGTTAGTTACTGTAAAACTCTTAGGAATATTTTATTCTGGTTAGAGACTTGTATGTTTGTGAAGGGGCAAGCACGAAATCTAGAGAACCTTTTAGTTTATAGAGTACCTCTTTTTTGTTCTAAAAGATAAATGATTTAGTATTGGAATGAATTGAACCTAAATATAAGGAAATGGATGTAGAGGGTTCATGCAGCGGAACTCAACTAATTTGGAATTCAAGCATTGTTGATTGAGATATCTTACCTCTTCGATAATTGGGTTGTAAACAACACCAACTGTTGGTTTCTTCTCAATTGTGAGACCGATTGATACGCAGACAAAAGGGAACCTGAAGCCAATCAAGTTTTACAACGACCAGCTTGAGCAGCTTCATGGATCATATAAAACAGTTCTATCAAAATATGGAGAAATTTAAGATTACCCATGAACAAAGTTAGTGGTTCCGTCAAGTGGATCAACTATCCAAGTTGGTTCATCAGTCAGCTCAAAATTTCCACAAGCAGCAGTTGTTTCTTCACCAATGAACTGAAGTGGACAGATATTGCAGCAAAGAGCCAGAAACAGATCAATACAATCTTTTCACGATACAGCTAATGAAGTGATGGAACTAAGGATACAAGATCTGAAAGCGAACCTTATGGCTGGGGAAACATTGCTTAAGATGATTAAAAATGAGATCTTCACATGCCTTATCAGTCTCTGTGACTAAATCCACCTACATTGTATGAATAACAGAGATTTAATTGTATAAAAAGACCCATAGATTAAAACAAGAGACAGAAACAATCAAGATAGCTGCGTCAAGCGAACTAAGCCAGATTAAATGGAGAAGGGTAGAGGGGCAGGCACATATCTCCTAGTTCCGGAGGCTGCGGTTGGTCCTAAGAGTTGGCCTCACGAAATTCGGATTTCTAAGTCAGCAGAAAGAAAACAATCAACTAAATTTCACATTTTTTGGCCAAAAACAAAACAGATGATTAGCTTTACGCAAGAAACAACTCATTCTTAACTAGTTCCTTCAGGATAATAAAGCATAGATGCTCAAACTCAAGCCATAAACATGGTTCATTCTCTACGTAGAATCTTAATATCTAAAATTGGTCTTCATATAAGCAAGAACTGACTAGCAAATTAAGCAATAATAGCTCTTCATGAAGATCACAGAAGGACAGAAAGCATTTGTTTACAAGGAAAATCCAAACACTATGTTGCTCAGACTCTTCAAAAATGTCACCAGGCACGTGTCCAGAACCTCCAAAAGCAGTGCATTTTTGGAAGATCTAACACAGGTTCTGCAACCTTCTTTGGAGAGTCTCACACTCTCTAAAAATGATGTTTAAACTGTGTAAGATCCTCCGAAGGACCTAACACTCGCCCGTTAACATTTTTGAAGAGTCCGAACAACATAGGCCAAGGCAAAAACTAAACAGGCACTAACCACTCCTTTGTGCTCCACATGCTTAGTCTTATAGAATCCTTGGCGAATTATCTGCAAAACATATGAATACAAAACAATGAAATCAAGAAAAACTTAAAAGCTAAAAATTGAATCTATTTTTTTGATTGTTCAAGCTAAAAATTGAATCTTTTATGATTATTCAAGCTAAAAATTGAATCTTTTATGATTATTCAAGCTTAAAATTGAATCTTTTTTTTAATTATTCAAGCTAAAAATTAAATCTTTTTTGATTGTTCAAGCTAAAAATTGAATCTTTTTTGATTGTTCAAGCTAAAATTTGAATCTTTTTTGATAATTCAAGCTAAAAATTGAATCTTTTTTTTGATTGTTCAGGCTAAAAATTGAATCTATTTTTAATTACTCAAGCTAAAAATTGAATCTATTTTGATTATTCAAGCTAAAAATTGAATCTTTTTTAATTACTCAAGCTAAAAATTGAATCTTTACAATGTAAGTAGCTAAAATTATTCAAAAAAAAGAATAAATTGGGTCAAATTAGATCTACCTCTCCAGCTTTTTTAGCAGCTTCAACTGCAACATCAAGAAACTCTTCAACTGAACCTGAAAAATTCAAACAATCACATTATAAAAATCAAACAATTATAATGCAAATTCTTAATAATAGGATTAATAATTATATGGGTAAAACATTCTAAGCAGAGATAAGGGCTCTACCATTTTGCGCCATCTTAAAAATAAATATATTTTAATTGACTGATAAGAAGAAAAAGGGATAATTTGATGTGAATATATATAGGAGTAATATATTTACCTCACGTAGCACATGAAAGCATATTTTTTTATATATATACCACAAAAATCAAATCGATCTCGAATTTGATATTTATTTAATTCATGTTTAAATAAAAGGCTATAATTTGAAGTGTTTATTAGTTCCTTTTGGTATGCTGGAACTATTAAATTATCGAGTAGCACCCTAAATTACAAGAATAATTAAATGTTTTGATTTTCATACTTTAATTTTTTTTATCCATTAAAAGAATCCCAGAAAATACAAGTGAAGGGCAGTTTGGTAAAAGCAATAACAGACGTGGAATATGCCTATGCAACGTGAGAGTATATGCTTATTTTTTTTATTTTTGTTTTTGGTTCAAAGTAGCTTAATGCTTGTGTACTTTCTTTTTTTTTTGTTTGGGTAATAGACGATTTTTTATATATTTATATAATATTCATCAAATATATTAAACGTGGCTACATTACTGTTAGCATTAGATATTAAAATATTACATATGGGTACATAGTGCATAACAAAAATGGTTTCTTCTTTGTCTGCTTCTAAAACCTCTGAGTTCCGAAGCAAATAAAGGAGGAACTTTTACTTATTAATATATAAAAAAAAAATATTAGAACGATAATGAAAAATAGTGCTTCGATCAATGCATTAAATTAATAGCAGAAATTGTTTTTTCCAAAAGAGGAATACATAGCTTTTTCTATAAATAATTTTAATGTTTGCCAAATATAAATTATTGTTCTAATATTACTAAACAGTAAGTGAAGCAATTCCATGATGAGAGCAAATGGTCCTCACCACTTTGAGGCAATGATACAAATGGTCCACTGGACGTACGAATCAATGGAATAACTATAGTATAAACAATCAAGATTCCTTGAAACCATAATCATTCGTAAACTACTACTTCATCATCAGTATATAAAAAGTAGAATAAATACAAAGATGCTTCTTATAAAGTAAGGATTGGAATCCAGTGTTTCCCAAAATTTTGAAACACCTTTGAATCTTCAATCGAAGAAGAGACCGTACAGTAACCTGTTGAGGATGTCCATAAGTATTTCGTCTTGAAAGTGAGTTGACAGAGGACTTAAATGGAGAAACAATTGAGACACACTTTATATTCAGTAATGTGAACGTGAAAGACCAGAAATGGCACTGACAAAAGATTCAATCAAATTATTGTTCAGTAGAGAAAACACCATTTTTTGTATTAAACATACAGCAGAGCTCAACAACTCAAAAAAAAAATGACACACTGTTGCGCGTTCCTCGACTGCGATTTATTTGTTTTCCTTCGGTTCAAGGGCTGCAATTTCTTTGACAACTTGCGCTTTGTCAGCCTCAAACTGCTCATCCTCTGCACACAACAAAAAGACGAGTAAGGACAACGATTTCATCATGCTTTCACACGACATGGGGTGTTCTTTTCATTTCGATTGTGTTTTCGTACCTTTTTCAGTCTTAAAATCAGCAAAGAGGCGAAGAAGTTTGTTTCTGTTTGCTACAAGGATGCTAACAATATCGGGAGGCTTGTTGTGATTTGCCGCAAATAGCTGTAAAGCTTTAAAAGGTTAGAGACAAAAGCATTTGATAAATGGAGTTAATTAATGAGCATATACATGAAACAATGTCGAAACAAGAAGGGTACCTTGAAGACATGAAATGCTTCTATCTGGATACTCTTGCTTGACTCCTGCCAAAGAGAAACTCAGCAATCAATATCAGATGATTAGAGCAATACTAATAAAGAACATTTGAAAACTACTCGTCGATGTTAGGCTTTTCAAGTCAGCTGAAGTGACGGAAGAAAAAGCCTCTTCCCCATATTAACAAGTACAGAGCCAAGAAAATCAGAGTCATAAGTCTGTTAATATATATACACATAGGTTTGATTTTGACCAATTCTTGTAGCAACTCATGTTAAAACGTCCAAATTTAAATCAATGCTGCATTATCCACTCATTTATTCATGTCTGACCCTAAACTAGCAACCACAGAAAGGGTATATTGAGAAGCATAGTAAAGCCCCTACAGAATATAAAGCAAATGAAAGTAAACCAAAAGAACAGACACATGGAAAGACACACGAGGAAAGAAAAAACAAACAGTGATAGTGAGCACGAAGGAAGGTGATCAATACCCTGAGCAGATTCATGAGAATCCTCAAGTTGTCTCTTGAGCTAACATAACGTGTCATCACAGCAGAATTTGAGCGGTCCAACAACATATCTGCCAAGAGCTGCAACAACAAAGCAGATAATTTTAAAGATTTAAAATGTTTTAGAATTTTTTATTCCTCCAACAACATTGTGAAAGTGCTAAAATATGTACATTTAATAAGCCATTTTCTGCATATGATAGAATTCAAACATTCGAATATGAGGAAAACAATTAAAGTTTCTAAGCAATTTATATTTAGTACGACATGAAAAAGCCAAAAAAGACCAGCATCCATATTTAAGCCTATGTAATGGTTCAGCTTTTCCTTCAAAGAATCTCACATACCTTTCATTAATAATAACCCAAAATATACGTGCAGGAATGACATTCCATATGGTTCTACTATCTTTTTCACCCTCCCGCCTGACTAGCATAAGAGAGGGTTGTTTACAAACATTGACATAACCCAGTTCAATCCACATGGATTTAGAAATGAACTTCACAGCATCGCCACAAACAGTGCAGCAACAATTAACAAAAATAAAAATTTCCCTTCTTTGTGACTTTTTTGGTTATTCATAGCTTTATATATAATCTTCAAAAGCCTTTAGTTCACGGAAATGGCTGATGATACCATCTTGTAGACAGACTTAAATCCTTAACAGTAACATTCCGTCCCTACGGTGTTTCCACCTCAGAATATCTGGTGTGCCTTGAACAGATTACAACTTCCTCCTATTTTCTTCTTAACATTACTATGTATCAGTGTTGTCAAAGGCACACTAAGCCCTATAATGAGGCTAAAAACGCGTTGAGCGTTTCGCCTCGTTTAATGTGCGCTTCAATGTCGTCATCAAGGTTCTAATACAAATTTTTCCTTTCTATTGAGCCTCTAGAGGTGACACAAAACAATTGATATTTCACTATATCGTAATTTTTTTCAATTTCTTTGTTCATATATTTGTCATTCATGCTTATAATTATTAGCCGTGGACTAAACATATATATTTGTATTTTTTTCTCCCTTTGCACCTTTTTTCATTAAAGCCCACACTTTATTTGTGCTTTGCGCTTAAAGCTCCAATGAACCTTAGAGCTTTTTGGCATTTTTTGCTTTTGATAACACTACTAGTATTTTCTAAAGAGGTGCAAAAGGACAAGAAAAAAAAATCTTCCACAAGATGATCAGCATTCAAGTCAGCAAAACATCACTTGTGTAAGATCTGGAGAAATTTAACAAAAGAAAGCACTTTGTACATTAATGATTCATAATGTAACGTCCCAAATTTATACTTGGATTCTTTGCAAAATGTGTGAGATTCCAAAGAAACAAAACTCATGCCAGAATTACCAGAACCATACTATTCAACCGAATATTTCCACATCAAAGTGGGACAAATCCCTTACCTTGACAGCTTGTCTTCTGGTGATGTAGTTACTAGACTCGAGTAGCTTTGAGTTATACTCTGTGAAAAACTGAAACCAGAACCACAAGATGGTGTATGAGTTAACAACAATCTATTTTCCAGAACAACTAACAAGTCATTCATAAAGCAAGCGAATAACAAGACTGGAAACAGCAGATATCACCTCACTATCCTACAAATGCAAATAAACAACAGTTTTTTTTTGGGGGGGGGGGGCAGGGGGGGATTCAATTGATCCTTTACATTTTCACCCCGTCATGCAATAGACAATAGGAGCAACAGAAATAAGGTCCACAAATTCAAAATTATAATACTACTGCCTAGTGCCCATGGGGTTAACACATTGGCCACGAAACACTCGAGAACAAAAAAGATGATGTCACAATCATGTAATCATAACAAGAACTTAGTAGTGTAAGCAGAACTAGTATTGAAGAAGTAGCTTGAGAGCATTATGTACATTAACAAAAATAAAGCCACAAGCAGCATAATTCTTCGAAAGAAATAATATATGGTTTAAACAATATTCTTGCACACATTCAATACAAACACTTGTCCAAATAATTAACTTTCATTACCCAGTCATAATTCTTCGAAAGAAATTCAGCTACTGTTGATTTGTGCCTTGTCAAGAGTTCCTGATCAAGAATTACAAGCTGATAAGGATAACGTCACAGTAGTAATGATTAGCTAGTTCTTACAGAATAGGAAAGCTATATATTTCCAGAGCCACTTTGCCAACAAGTGCTTGCTTCTAGGAGAAACAAATCACCCCATTCCATAAAATAACTTTCTCCTATAAATATGGATGACAGCAATGGTGAATGAATTCCCATGAAACTAATTCATTTACTTCTTATTGAATTATTTCTAATTTAAAGTAGCAAAAAGGCTTCACTTTCTGCTTTTTCCACCAGCTTAATGACGTGTGATAGGCAAAGGAGAAGCAGACAGTGATAATCATTCCAGAATCATGATCAAGAGCATTTAACCTTAAAGGTGGCAGCAGCATCAGCAGCAATGTCAAAATTTGGCAGCTGAATATAATCGAAAAACTTCTTCATATGCTCAGACTCCAAGACATACCTAAAAACCAAAGAGCAAATACAAGTTATCAGAAAAAAGGACCCATTCAATAGCATGAAGCTACTTTTTTATGTTTCTATCCAAGACATAATCACGGACTAGAAAGAGATTTCAAAGAAACTAATTATGTCACCAGCAAGTCAGATAAATATATCCCCTTACACCAATAAACTTGAAAGAAGCAAAGAAAAAAAATTCTAGACAATTTACTAAAAGACAAAAAAAAACCATCAAATAGGTTCAGGTGGTTTACCTTGCAACACTCTGGTGGCGAATGCACTCCCTCAACATTGCACCATAATGCAAAGCCATTTCTGTATTCTCATATCTAGATGACATGGGAAAAGGATCATCAGAAGTCAGCAAACATACAAACTGGAGATTAGCAACAGGAATCTCCAGAAACATCTTTTGCGCTGCAGAAATTAAGTTCTGAAAAAATGCTTGCGAAAATGCAGTCGAAAAGTATTACCTCATCCCATTTATGTGATAAAATTTGACTAGCCACACAGATAACATTATAAAGGTCAAGTAAATACTATCATTTGGACTAATAAAGAAAATAAGGTCTGCTTAATCTCAATTTAATCTCGAGTTTGTCTTGGTGTAGAGCTGATGTTTCTAGAGGACCAAAAAAGGGAGTGTTTCAAGCAAAAGAAAATCCTGATAACACGGATTAGACACAGAACACAATAAAGTACAAGGAATACAAGAACTTATTTTTTATCGGTACAAGGAAAACAAGCACTTCTAGTCCAAAAGTCTATATCTAAAAATGGTTTCTTTCATCCAAAATATCTGACTTAGCTTTCACATGGATACAGATTAGAAACATCTGTCAGAAAGTAAAGGTAAGAAAAATTTAAAGAATATGGAAAACTAGTAAACATGAAAATTTGACAGGACAAAGCATCATACTAGCAAGTCACCAGATTTTGGATATCTTATGTACTGTAGCTTACCCTAATATTAATTTGTCCATCAGATCAATGTTTGCTTCCAAGTAATCACAAGCAATCAGCCGTGACTGAACCTGCTGTCTCTGCAGATTTGCTACTACTTGAGTAGCATCTTTGCGGGTCTGTGAAATAGAAACATCATTATAATAGGAAAATAAGGAAAAGACAAGAACAAAGATAACAGGCTTAACAGAAGTGAAAGTCCAATTCAAAATGACCCAATAATGTAGTAGAACCATCAAAATGATTGAAGAACAGAAAGCAGATCATACTCTCTCCAAAAAAAAGCAACAAAAAAACATAAATAAGACCCCGCTCACGACCTCACGTGACAAGAGAGAGACAATCTGACCATAAGCAACTTTCTGAACTCATAGAAGATGTTAACTTACCTCTAAATTCAAATTGGGAAGACAATTAATTATTAGCCGAAGCGTGTTCTCTTTGAAGAATTCTAGGGTCAACTGAGCACAAGCCTCAGCGAGGGGTTCGGATTCACCATTCCCATAAAGAATAATCTTTAATTCCCGGATTGACTTGCTTAACTCCATCATCTGCAAATATACATTTAAGAATAAAACGTGTACAACTTCATTAAAAAAAAGTGCATAACAAACACGATGCTAAACATAATCAAACAAAATAATATTTCATATAACAGCACTATCACATATATATCCCAAATTATTAAGAATCTATATCAGCGACATTCAAAATAGTGGCATTGTCACTGATTCACTGTTGATTCAATCACAATATTCCAGAACGTAGAAAACAAATCAACTCTACTGCATATCACTAGAAAGAACTTATCCACCACTTCGCTCTTTGCTTAGCAATTAGCGTTCCACATAATAAAATATAATTTTGTTAACAAGCAAATGATGGGGATCCAAATTGTGCTAACTAAAGCTATTGCATTACTCAAAAAATCACAAAGCAATCTTCAAAAACGTCCATTCAAACAAATTGAACCAAATCAATCCACTGCACTTATCTGCCAATTCCGTTGTTGTTTAGCAATCTACAAAATTAAAAATTACATTTTGATCACAAGCAAATGAACTAGATCCAAATTGGACCAACTAAAGCCATCCCATTTCTGAAAAATTCCACAAAACAAGATAATTCAAAAGCATTGATTCAAACAAATTGAACCAAATCAATCGACTTCAGTCTGAAACCAAATTCATTGAGCTCGGCTATATGAATCCTCTATATCTATTCCACTAAATCCACATCACTTAATCACAAACTAAGCCACTTCAAAAAGACTCACTCCAACAATCGATCAATCTATCATCAACTATACCTCAAAACCATATAATTCCTTGTATACTTTGCTCTATTCAGTTCCCATTTTCCTTTCCATACAAGATAAGACAAGGTAAGAATTTTGTAAAGAATAAAAATCAAACCTTTTCTTGTCGTTTGCTTTTCACGAGTGTCGGAAACCCACTCAATACATAAGAATCTCATTAAACAAGCTAATTCAATAGCATTCACTCAAACAAATTAACCAAATCAATCAACCTCAGTCTCAAACCAAATTAGCTGAGATCACTATATGATCCTTTATATCCATTTCTGCTCAATTACAACAACAACAATAACAAGATACTCTGGGGAAGGTACCCTTTCAGCTCACTAATTCACAAACTAAGCCAATTTCTAAACTAACAAAATTAGACAATGTAACAATCAATCATGAACTAAAAACTGAAAAATTTCAAACCTTTTCTTCTCGTTTGCCTTCACGAGTATCATTAACCCGTTCAACATACATAAGAAGTTCACGGGTCTGACGAACAAGGTCAGCAGGAGTCTTGGGCTTAGACTTAAATAAACCCTTCATCTTCGTACTATCACCAGCACCAAAACTATTCTCCCTAAACGACGAAGCAGCAGCTGCTGTTACTGCTTGAATTGGGGACGACAACCTCTGAACCACAATTGGTTGTGGTTCAGAGCTTTTGCCGCCGCCCCCTTTCGGTCCTGAAAAACAAATTCCTATTTTGCTTGATTTTCAATCACACCCACTTCCCCAAATGTTGAATTCTCTACACACTGTTAGATTTCTTTCAAACTTCTTCAATACTTCACTATTTTTCATGGGGTTTCATTCTTTCTCCAAGATTTGCTGTAAATTTTTGTGAGGTTATCGAATTTGGATTGGAGAAGATGAAATTAGCTGTTGATCTTGATTCGATCTATGGTGGGTAGTACAAATTGTCTACAAGTATTTGTAGTTTTCTCCTATGCCCAAATTCTTGTTAAACTACTGTGCTAACTATTTCTTCTACTTTTATATTACTTTCTTTTTGGGGATTGTTTTGGATTTTAATTGAAATTGTATCTCTATTTTGATAGAAATATGATTTGTATAAACTTTATCTTTTTTCGGATCTTATTTGATAAGATCATACTAAGTATGTTATTAAGGTATGTGAAAATCATATCTCTATTTTTAAGATAGAAATATGATTTGTATAGACTTTATCTTTTTCTTTTTTCAATCTTATAATTTGATGAGATCATACTAAATATATTATAAAGGTATGTCGAAATCATATTTCTATTTTTAAGATAGAAATATGATTTGTATATACTTTACTTTTTTCAAATCTTATTTGATGAAATTATATTGAATATGTTTGTTAGTAGTATTATATTTCTCATTGTAACTCTTGGTATGTTTTCTTTTAATACATCTAACTAATATTAATATTGTATTCTCGCGGTTGAATATTGTATTGGTCTGGTAAGTATTTTTTTATATAATTAATTAAATTGACATGATATTTATTTTTAATTTACTTCATTTGAGTTTTAAATATGATTTTTTTTTCTTTGAATTTTATTTATTTCGCGCTCAAACAGAAGTTACCTTTGCTTATGTGATATCCTAGTTTGATAGTTTCTCATGATTACATTCTCAGACGGCAAACCTAAAAAGTTAATTACAGACGCTTGACGCCTAATCTTAGGTGAATTTAATGCAAAGATAATATATCAGAAATTAATTGAGATATCGAAAAAATGAAAAAAAAGGAAATATATACTCATCAAAAATATGTTGATCAGAGAATAAAGTTGGAAGTTCAAGATAAATGAACTTGTCATATACTTATGAAATGGAATATACTATATAATTTTTGGTGATTATGGTAAATATCGTAAATTACCATTTATGAATTTCAGCCTTCCTAACTATGTACACTACTTAGAAATCTTTAATTCTAAAACATTATAGCAACCAAATTTACTATTACTATTTGCCTTTTTTTAACCTCTCATCTTGTGTCTGATAATTTTTATTAGATTTCGATTAAATTTGAATTCATGTATTGTAAGATATATTTTGAGAGTCACACTCTTAATAAAAAATGTTAATTTCTAGAAACTCAAAAATTCGAAACCTCATAGGAGTATTAAAAGTGTAGGCAATACATGTTGGTATGTTGGTACTACTACTTAATTACTTGATATGTAATTGTGTCCTTTTAATTTTCAAGTTTGTACAGAATTTTAAAGCGATAATAACTATAAAAAGAGAAGAAAAAGGAAAAAAGTTGATTTCATTAAAATAAAATATAATAATTATAATTAAAAAAACAGCTTAAAAGATGGGGCCAATTTATGACCATTACAATGTATTAATGTTTAACAATTGTAGTGTTTCAACGATCATATATAAAATTTGTGCAAGTCATTATCAACATTTTTTCAACTGATTATCCTAAAAGATGGCACGTTGAGAACTTATGAATTTTTTTATTAAAATATCTATAATTGATAAGTATTAACTTGGGATAACGACTTTAAACTTTAATAATAAAAAATTGTAATACGAGAGAGTGCTTCTTTTTAGTAGACGTGCAAGCTATGATAACTCTAAAATAGTTAAGTGTCATAAATTTTGAATATCAGATAATTAAGAAAGATATTAATCTAATATTCGATTTTGATTCTTATTTTTAGAAAGAAAAGTATGTGCGTAGAGAAAAATCAAATGGAATCACAAAGCTATAATAATCTATAATTACTAGGATCCTTAAAGATTATTATTTTTTTCACAAGTCAACTAGTATCATTTTTTTTTACTATATTGTTTTGAGACGTGATTTCTTTTGAACATCTCAAGGGACACAAAATCTTAAAATAATATACAAAGTATTTAAGCTTTTGTTTGTTTAAAAAATTTCACGTTTGTTTATTTTTTTCTCAAGCAGCTTTGAAAAGAAAAAATCTCTTTCGACAAATTAAAAGAGCTTCTAGAAAAAACTCTAGTTTCTTCCACTTGTAAAACTGGCAAAATAATAATAATATATTTGATGTAATTTCAAAAATAAGATATAAATAAAGTAATGTGTACATACGCAAATTCTACTATTCTATTTTTTGAGGCAGATTCAAAACTTCAAAATAAAAAAATCAACATAGACTTTTAGAATTCCATACATCCATTTTCAAAATATTGACATTTCTAAGATTATCATGACCATGATTTAGAAAACTCAATTTTCTACTCTCTCTTTTTAATTAGCTTGAAAAGAATAACATGATAGGCTAAATTTTTGCTATTTGTGAAATTTACAACAGAGTCGAACCATAAGGATCTATTAAACGCAACTTTATCCTGCATATTTAGAACATAGTCGAACCATAAGAATCTATTAAATATAAACTTTACCCTACATTTTTGAAAGATGCTATTTAATATTATTGTGTGATAATGCTGTTTTCCTATATCTCCACTTGGAACTTTCCATTTCACTCTATTAAATTCTTTAAAAGAATAAAATGGAAGTGTATGGGGATATCCAATATAAATGTCCTTTTAATCAAGAACAGTTGTGTCTATTCCCATCCCACCATTCCTTTGATTTACATCAATTCTGTGCATATCTCCTTTTTCTTTCTTGTCGAAGGTTTCGAATTCGAGTTCTACAAATAAAATTATGACAAATAAAGTCGTGTTTTTAAGTGAGAGGGCTGAAAAGAAAGCTCAACCTATAGAGAGAGGAAGGTCATTCAAAACCTATCATGGCTCCAAAACGAAGGGTTTTGTTCTATGTTATGTTCGATAATTCTATTGGGCCCCTTGACTAGTCTGAATTTGTGTCACAGAAGGTCTATTAGAAGAAAAATGTTCTCTACTAAGATTTTTTTCATACTCAAGGCTCGGAGTTGAATTTTTAATTATATAAAAGTGAAATGATCTTATCCATCCACTATAATCCTTCGTGGTGGCCGGAAGCTCTAAACCTCCTCATAACAACATTTTTGTAACATTTAAATTTAAATTAATCGAATCAATGAATTCTGAACACTGAATGATTAAATGAAAAGAAGAGAGTGGAGGTATATGGAGTTTTTGAGCCCACTTGCTTGAAGGTCACATGAATACTCTAGAGTTTGGCCACTCATTTTGGGCCTTATAACCACCTATCTCCAAACACATCTATTTAATCAATCCATCTTTTTTCTTTCATTTCATTATTACAATCTTTGAATTTGAAATTAAAATGAAAGAGGTCCTTTTCAACTAAATTAGCTAGAAAAGTCCTTAGATTTATTGCTTAGATTTATTGCATTGTCATCTGGCTACTAACTTTTCTAGTGAGGATATGCTATGGAATATTGACTTTGCTTTGTGTTTCTTGTAATGCCTTTTTTAATCATTATCAATGGTGTTGTTTAGGCCAGTTTGCATTTATCTTGACTAATTTGACGAGATATTTGTCATCTCTAATCAACAACTAGATGAATAAAGATCCCTACGTTGCATTGTTCGACTTATTTCCATTTCATAAATTTGACATTGTTGATCTTAACTTTATAAAATCTGCTTTTCTGGATATCATAGTCCCATTTAATCTCACTTTAATACTTTCTTTTTTAGAGTTGATGGTAAAAATATATCTAAATTATCACATTTTTGTGAATTTTATTTCTCAACTATCCATTATTTCATTACATATCTAAATTATCACCTTCTTTTTTTTGTATTAAAACACACCTCGATGTTGAGTTGATCTACACGTGTCTATCTATCAGGAACAAATAGTTGGTCAATTCATCATCAAGATATATTTTAAGATAATTTAGATACGCAAAAGAAATACTAGATAGCTAAGATATGATTTTCTCGAGAGAAAAAAAAATAGTTTTTTTTAGTCATAAACCTTTCTGCTAGCTAAACTTGCAATGCTTCTATTTTATGTTGAGTGATTGACAAGTCAACAATAACGTCCAAATGACTCAATGTCGATTTAGACTCCAAATTGAAAACTTTGTCCAAAACAAAACAGATAAGCAAAAACCATATTTCTTGATTACCAGAAAATTCAAACAAATAACCCTACAAATTGACTAGTTAGCATATTTTCTCCGTGGATTTAGGATGGATTCAACTGAATTTATTGCTTCCGTGCAGTTAAAGTATAGAAAAAATGCAGTAGGTTGACGGTAAACGTAAGACTAAGTTTACGATACATATACAAAAGAGGACACATTGCAATAATCGGCTGGAAAACAGTACAAAAGTAACTAATAACATGATTAATCCTCACAATACATATATAGATCTTGAACAACATATACAAAAACGTTAAAAACGTATACATATATCATAAGATCACGTTGATAATGTTTATTCTCCACAAATTTAAGATAAGTTTTGCGATTCCAACTGAAATAGTTGTTTGGATAAAGGAGGGAGAAGTTCTAGTAGGCTTAATTAAACTCAACGTGAAATGATCCAATTTCATAACGAATCCTCATGATACAAATCTCAAAAAATATATACATATACAATACAAAAACATCAAAATATGTTCTAGATAATTGCTTTTATCCAAAAGGAGGAAATTTTCGCTCAACGCCAGTGTAAAACTAGTCAATATTAGAAGGAATCCTCATAATACTTATCTCGAAAAATATACGTACACATACAAAAACATTATAATGTATACATATCATACCATGCTCACATTGATCATATTTATTCTAAATCCACAGACTGATCTTAAATTCGCCTAATTTATAACTAATACACATCTCAAACAATATATACATATACAAAAACATTAATAGATATATATACACATGAAATCACGTTTATTCTGAATCCACTAACTTAAAATCTTAAATTTACCAAATTTATATAACCAAATACATATCTCAAACAATACATACATATACAAAAACATTAAAACATAACACATATATATTATTATAACATGACGTTTATTTTGAATCCACTGACTCAAAATCCTTAATCATAATTCATAACCAACACTTACATTTGTTTGAAGGAAGTAAGTTTCTTAATTTTCTCCCATGGTTTATCCCATACAACCACCAAATATTTACGAACATGACCTCCATCTTTAGCGTTAATTACAAGTCGATAATTTATTCCGGCAACGACTTGACTTTCTCCTTTAGTAATACTTTGAAATTCCAATTTTGTCCCTGCCTCTTTATTGTGCTCATTCACCGCGAATTGTCCTATCGCAACCACTTCAGGGGTATTTACGTCATTTAACGGGGTCCAACCACCAACTGCACCACCCAATGCGGCGGAGAAATGGAAGAAAATTGAAGAAATTAAGATAATTGAAAGAGTCAAGGAGAAAACAGAAAATAATTTGATGGCCATTTTTATTTATTATTTTTGAGAGTGAAAAATGAAAAAATTTAAGAGAAAAAGTGGGGTTTTTAATTTAATGGGTGCACTTATTTAAAGGAAAGTGTTAGGTAAAGTGGAGAACCGACAATCATATATTCATATTCACTAAAATTTTAAATTATTGTCATGGAAATATTGATGTTACGTTTAAGGACCGCTTATTAAATGCAGTAGGTGGTATCTCATTAAAAAAAAAGTCATAAAATTTATTTTTTGGTAAGAACGGGGAGAAAAAGAATAAGAATCTTAACATTTTGTTTGGATGGTTATTATGTATTGTTTCATAGTGTATCGTATTATATTGTGTTGTATTGTTTTAATGAATATACTATTTGGATAGATTGTATTGTTCTTCATCGTTACATGTTGTCACACATACATAATTTGAATGAGAAACTTACAAGAAAAGTAGAGGATGGGGCAAAGTTACTATGAAAAAGTAGGATAAAAGATAAAATAGGTCAATTATTAAATAATAAGTAAAGACTAACGCAATCACACCAATTTAGTCGTTACACAAAATGAGTCTTTTCATCGTTATCTACCAATGAATTTAAACGATACAATACAGTAAAATTTACATAACAATTAAAACAAACATTATATTTGAACTAATAATACAATACAATATGTGTAACAACCATTGAGATGAATTTGTCCTATCAACGTTATTCTAGTCGAACTTGTTTCAACGGATTTATCTAGATTCTCTCTCCTTTTCAATTATTATTATTATTATTAAAAAACATCTAAATTGTTGGTCCGATTAATTTGTATATCAGATAAAGGAGAAGTGTTTCCTCATCGTCTGTTTTATTTTTAATTATTATTATTATTATTATCATTATCATCATCATTATTATTATTATTATTATTATTATTATTAATATTTTTATTATTATTATTATTATTATTATTATTATTATTATTATTATTATTATTATTATTATTATTATTTAAAACATCTAAATTCTCCATTTTTCATTAATTTTGGGTCCTTAATGGGCTGCCAATCACCAAGTGGGCTTGGGCCATCATTTGTTGCAACATATGGCCCAAGATTGAAGCAATTACTACTATTGAAAGAGTAACAAGAATAAAGAATTGAAATTGAAAGTCAGTTTTTTCTTTTAAGAAGAATTTGTTAATTGAAAGCAAATTTGATTAGAACTTAGAAGCATATAAACAATTAGGAAGACAAAGGGCAAGAAAGTAACATAAAATGCAATGCTAAATTTGAGTTGTTTATATATCTTTTTTTTTAATAGTAGATACTTTTAAATACTCATACATTTAACTCTATAGCAAGAGATGGTCGATAAAGGAAATGAGTTTTTCAAGATTATTCTTACGATTTTTGTAAACAACCACCGTAAAATCATCTAATTCATCGAATTTTGTACCAACAATATGTAAACTATAAATAATGCCATCGTTAACAATTTTATATTTTCCATCAGTCACTTTCAAAATTCATAGGCATTGCTTTTTATTATTTTATCACCTTAGGATCCGATGGAGTGACAGCGTTTACTGAATTTATTGCCATTTAAAAATGTAGCGAGTAGGAGTAAGATATATATTGTATAGTTTGTGATTTGTGAGAATTGTGAAGTGTATGTCTAATATTTATATTAGTTTTTCACATTGGAAATGTGGTTGAGCTTTTAATTTTGTGACATAACAAGAACATATAATCTTATTTGTTTTTATTGTTTTCCTTTATAGGCGATTATGTAATAAATATTGAGATTTTTTTGTAAACTAATAAGAATATATTGAAACATCTAGTTGGGCCTATGTTCGTGGATTCTCAATTGTTTGGGCTTAAAATTTAGGGTTACTTATCGAAATTCTACTAGTTTAGGAGCTAATTATTTAGATTCACGCTAGTTTGCACTATTATGGATCTTACTTGATTTTAGATTTCGGATACATTTATCTGGCACGTCCAAATATGTCTAGATACATGTGGGTCAAAATTAGGTGTATTGATATAGATACAATATATACAAGTAGATTCACATGTATCTGACCCTCTCACCTCTCTCTTATCTCACTCTCCTCTCTCACTATATCTGGTATCCCAAATACATGTATCTAGTGTATTTATACATACATGATTTTAAGATGGTTTATGGATATCATGAAAAAAAAGGGAAAATTCAATTACACATAATTAACATAGACAAAATAGTATACAAGTAACATAAAATAAAATGCTAACTTTGAGTTGTTTATTCGAAAAATATATTCTTCAAATAATATCTAATTGTTGATACCTTTACGTTTTATCCAAGTGATGGAAATGAGTTTTCTAACATTATCCTTATAATTTTCGAAAACCATCGTTTTATATTCACTTTCTTCATCGAAATCTATAGCAACAATTGTCAATTCATAAGTGGTACCATTGTTATCAACTCGAAATCTTCCATTCAACACACTCTCAAGTCTCAATTGAACATCTGGTGATATGATATTTTCACTATTTACTGCAAATTTTGCTATGTCTACCACTTTAGGATCTTTTGGATCTTTTATGAGCTGCCAATCATCCTTTGATAGAGACGGATCTAGAGTATTCAATACAACTTCAAACGAATTCAGTAACTTTCGATTATCGATTACAGTAAAAGCATGACAAAAAGTGGAAGCAATTACTATCATCATTGAAAGAGTCAAAAGAGAATTTGATTTAAAAGCCATTTTTCTTTGAGAAGAAGTTGAAATTGGAGTGCTTAACACTAATTAATGAGGATATTATTTATAGAAAAAATTGAAAGCTAATTTGGTAAGAAGAATATGAAGAATTAAGTAAGATGATAAATTAATTACTTTTAAGGTAATAGACTAATAGTTATTAGATATTTCTTTCTTTATGGTTGACGATAAATTATTTAACTATAAATAGTCAAAGGAAATTAATTTCAAATAACACATGTGATTTAAAAGTAATAAGAATTTTACTATTATTGCTTTCCTTTATAGGAGATTATGTAAGAATATTGAGATTTTTTGTAAACTATAATAAGAATATATTGAAACATATAGTTGGGCCTATGCTCATGGATTCTCAATTTTATGGGCTTAAAAATTTAGGGTAACTTATCAAATATCTACTAATTTAGGAGCTAATTATTTAAAATCGCGCTAGTTTGCAATATTATGGATCTTACCTGATTTTAGACTTCGATTGGCGCATCCGCATACGTCTAGATACATGTATCTTGGATACATGTCGGTCAAAATTAGGTGTAATTGATATAGATACATCATATACAAGTAGATTCACATGTATCTGACCCTCTCGTCTCTCTCTTATCTCACTCTCCTCTCTCCCTGTATCTGGTATTCTAAATACATGTATCTAGTGTGATTCACATGTATATGGAGATCTCGCTCACCTCCCTCCTATCTCACTCGCCTCTCTCCCTATTTTAGGGTATATGGTAGCAAAAATACAATTAATATAGACAAAAGAGTAAGTAACATAAAATGAAATGTTAAATTGGGTTTTTTCATTCAAAAATATTTTTTGATATAATAGGCACTTGTAAATGCTGATACACTTTAGGTTTTAAGCAAAAAATTAATCAAAGGAAATAAGTTTTCTAACATGGTCCTTAGAATTCTCAAAAACAATAATTTCATAAACATTTACTTCATCGAATTCCATGGCGACAATTGTCAAGTCATAAGTGGTGCCATTATTATCAACTTTAGTTCTTCCATCAGATAAACTCTGAAATTCCAATCCAATGTTTTCTGATTGCATATTTTCTGTATTTATTGCAAATTTTGCAATGTCCACCAATTTAGGATTGTTTATATCATTTATTGATATGGACTGCCAATCACCATGTAACTTTTGATCATCGGCAAAAACATGACAGAAGGTGAAAGCAACTAATACCATATTCAAAAAAAAAAAAATTGATCGAAACGCCATTTTTCTTTTAATAAGAATTTGATATTTGAGTACTTAACACTAATTTGTGAGGATGTTATTTATAGAGAATTTGGTTACAAGTATATGAAGAATTAGGTAGGTAAGATAATAGGTTATGTTTTTTCTATATGGTTGACTATAAATTACTTAACTAAAAATAGTCAAAGGAAAAATAATAATAATAATACATGTGATTTTGAAAGTAATTACAATTTTACTAATTAATGAAGATTTGCTACCAAACTAGTAAATATTTTTCTATTTTATTTGAATTGACATTATCACATATTTTTCGGAAAAATTACTTAAATACACAATTTATTTTACCATATTTTTAAAAATTTCCTATTATTTTAAAAAATTATAAATATCCCTACTCTCTTCTATATTCGGATACAACCTTACGCGATGTATCAATCGGATACATCACTTTACGCAATGTATCGGTCAGATACATCACTTTAGCGATGTTTCGGAACGTATGTGATGTATTACGTTGAGTGATGTATCCACAAATGAGACGCGATGTATCGAAACGTTGAAGGGTGTATCCGAAATCGAGACGCGATGTATTAGGATGTTTTGGGATGTACCCGGATTAGAGGTAATTAGACTATGATTTCTTCAGGGTTGGTAATACATTATATATCTAACTAAATAGTCTATGGAAAAAAAGAATTATTTTTAAAAATACATGTGATTTGGAAATAATTAATTAGGGAAGATTTGCTACAATGCTAATTGCTAATATTTTCTATTTCATTTGATATGATATTACCACATACATTAATTAATGTTTTCATATGTTTTTAACCATAAAAAGACATTAACACTACATGGAGAAAAAAAGAGAAGAAAATCCTCTCTTACCTTGAGTTTATGCCCCAATATTGTTTTAAAATAATAAATCTAAATAAAAAGAAAAAAAAATAAAGAATGATATTGTGATGATGATCTTAACTTCTTCTTTTTTTAACTTCTTCATTATCAATTTCATTAATTAATATAGTAAAGGCTCTCAAAAGGACTATAATGCTTGTAATTCATCAAAAGAATTATATTGGCAAATGAGTGTTGACACAAATACAAAACTCTTAATTAAATATTACAATTTGGATAATTTTCGTCTCATTTCAAAGTTGAACAAGACGATAAATTGGATTATTTTTCATTCAAAAATATAATATATTTTGATATAATAAGCACTTCTTCTAAAATGTTCATACACTTTAGGTTTTAAGCAAAAGAAATAAGTGTTCTAACCTTGTCCTTAGAATTCTCAAAAACAACTAAGTCATACGAATTTATTTGATTGAATGATATTGCAACAATTCTCAATTCATAAGTGGTGCCATCATTATCAACTTTATATATTCCATCCGATATACCCAGAAATGACAATCCAGAGTCTTTTGGTAGTTTTGTTTGTGTATTTACCGCAAATTTTGCAATCTCCACATATTTAGGATCTTTTAAATCATTTGTTGGTATGCATTGCCAATCACCATGTTGACACGAATCATCATAATCATCTGCATGACAGAAGGTGAAAGCAACTACTATCATCAAAAGAAAAAAATTGAATCGAAACGTCATATTATTGGAGTAGCTTAACACTAATTGGTGAGGATATTAATATTTATAGAGAATTTGGTTACAAGTATATAGGTTAATTACCTTAGAGATAATTAGGCTATGTTTGACTATAAATTACTTAACTAAAAATAGTCGAACGAAAAAAGAATTCGTTTCAAATAATACATGTGTGATTTGGAAGTAATTACGATTTCACTAATTAATGAAGATTTGCTACCATAATTTGAGTTGTTTATTTAAAAATATATTATTTAAATAATGATACTTCTAAATGCTCATACACTTAAAAGTCTTCTATGGCCAGCCAATCACCACTATGTGACGGTAACGGAGCTAGAATATTCAGTAACTTGTAATTTTTATTTGTTGTTAAAACATGACAGTAGGTGGAAGTAATTAACTATTATCATTTAAGAAATCACAAAAGTAGGAGAATCAAATTTTAAAAGCCATTTTTCTTTTCAGATGAATTTGATAAAGACTAATTTGGTGAGGGGATTGTTTATATGGAGATTTGAAAGCAAGTCTGATTAGAGGTAATTAGACTATGATTTCTATATGGTTGGCAATAAATTATATATGTAACTAAATAGTCTAGGAAAAAAAGAATTTATTTTAAATAATAAATGTGATTTGGAAATAATTAATTAGGGAGGATTTGCTACAATGCTAATTACTAATAAAAATTTTCTATTTGATTTGATATGATATTACCACATAAATTAGTTAATGTTATCATATTTTCTAACCATAGAAGGACAATAAGACTACATGGAAAAAATAAAAAGGAAATCTTCTTACCTTGAGTTTATGCCCAAATATTGTTTTAAAATAATAAATCTAAATAAAAAGGAAAAAAAAAATAAAGAATGATATTGTGATGATCTTCACTTTTTTTCAAGTCACATATTAAAAGATACTTGAACATAATTCAATATCTTCATTATCAATTTCATTAATTAATATAGTAAAGGCCCCTCAAAAGGACTATAATGCTTGTATACAACCACATGTTTTTCACCTAAAAAATATGGTTGTAGTTTTGAGCAAAATCAAAAGAATTAAATTGGCAAATGAGTGTTGACACAAATATAAAACTCTTAAAATATTGCAATTCCTATTGTTTTCGTCTTATTTCAAAGTTGAACAAGATGATAAATACTTTGACATGATTTGTAAAAGAAATGAGTTTTCTAATATTGTTTTTGGGGTCATCGAAAACAATTATTATACTATTTTACAACGACTTAAGATAATAGAATCTCTAAAAATTCTTATCATTTGAATTAATTACAAAAAATCCTCGTTTCCTTCTCTCTCTTAACATCCGGCTACATTACTTCACATATATCAAGATATTACAACTTTATTTGTGTACAATGTATTTGGTACAAATGTTATTGTTAATACATTACTCAATCATTTAAAACCTAAATCAGTATGAATATATGGTTTGTAGTTATGTATTTGATACATAACTCATATATATGATACATTACCTATGTATCGTTTGCTATATATCGGGTGAATGAACAATGTATCCGCGAGTTCTGAAAAATCCGGGATTATTATAATTTTAAAAACTTTCGATAAAAGATGTAATTAACACCCAAATTAGTGGGGTTTCTGTACTTTATACTTTTTTATTTATTTTGTGTGTGTTTTTACAAGAGAATATCTAATTGGGCCTATCTTAGAAGTCCTATAAAGCCCAAACATTTGAGATTTTATGAAAACCCAATTAGTTGCCTCAATAATGTTTATATTAGGCTAGTGAATATACACTCTAAAGAAATAAATCATTAAAACAGACAAACAGTATACAATTATGTTCACACTGGTCAACAAATATTAAATCACATTTTGAATATGAAACAAAAGTACAATCTCATTAATAAATAGAAACAAATCTAATTATACCTCTTAATTAAAGCAACCAATTTATCAATAAATAAATAAATCTAATTGTACCTCGAAATTTCCTATAAATAATACCCTCACCAATTAGTGTTAACCACTCCACTATCAAATATGGCTTTCAAACTAAATTCCCTCCTTTTTATTACTCTTTCGACGATAGCAATTGCTTCCACCTTCTGTCTTGCAACAAATGACGATCAAAAGTTCCCTAAACTACAAGGTATTTGGACGGACTTGGATCCAAATGATCCTAACGTTGTGGACGTTGCGAAATTCGCGGTGAAGGAGGCAACTAAGAGAGCTAAAGGTGAAAGAGTATTTACGTATGTGAATGTGAATAAAGCATCCGTTACTCATTTTGATGAATTTGATAATACTTATGATCTTCTTGTTGAGGCCACAGAAACAAAATCTGGTGTCACTAAGGAATATATGGCATTTGCTGAAGAAAGTTTGGATAAACAACATAAAGTCCATAAAAGATATCTATTGAGCTTTAATCCAACTTCTTAAAATTATCCTAAGTGTATGGTTTAGAAATCTATAATCTTCAATAAACATTTTATATTATCTATGTTATGTATGTGTGGTTGATTTTTTTTTTTTTTTTAATGATATACACAACAAAACATTGATTTATATTTTTAATGATATATATGGATGGATGGACAAAAACAATCTTATTCTATTTTAATGATTTATTTCTTTAGATTATATAAATATAAATAATTTGATATTTACTAGACTGATATGAACATATTGAGAAATCTAATTGGGCCTATTTCATGGAGTCCCAAATGTTTGGGCTTATAAATTATGAAGTATTTGAGGAAGAAAATGAGTTAAATTAATAATCAATAGTGTTATGAGCTCAAATCACAACAATTAAATATTTGAATTGCAAAACTTAAATACGAAATTACATTTCATATTTCATATCTTAAAATATAAATTGAAAAAAGCTTATACAATAGATACAACTCAACAATAAAAAGAAAATAGGAAAAGAAGACCACCAATTGCAAAAATAGCACAACATCAAGATAATTGTACAAATATTTTTACATTGTCGATGCATATAACTGGCCTTGTGTATCCCTCTATATTTCCATCTTTAACAGAATTAAACTAACCACACATATGCAAATAGTTTGTTGATACATTATTCACAGGTTTATCTGTTCCAAACACCATAGGTCCTGAAACCAAAAAAAAATAAAAAATGGTCACTTTTCACATATGATCACTAAATTTTATCCACTATAACGATAATTTGTTTACTAAAGTAACAAATATATACGTAATTATTTTTATCACTTTAAAATAACCTTAATGTTACTCTTTATACTTATAAAGTCCAAATCCTTAGAAAGCATGAGTCATTAGCTCGTGTTGACGTTGACTATGTCCCTAACGTTTATACTTAGTTAAAATATATATTAAAAAAAAAGGAGGGGGGGGGGGGGGACTAGTAAATGTGGATATTTAATGCTCCTTGTGTTTTACTTCATGTGACATATACCATTTAACTCGATAAATAGTTTAAGAAGTAAAGAAAAAAAAACGTTTGAAACATTTATATGTGATTATAAAAGTTAAATAAATCGAAATGAAAACTAAGAAATTTGAAAGAAACTTTACCAAGGGTAGGCATCAAGAAGGATAGAGCAACAATCCCAGCAATTTTCAATGGAAGTCCAGTTTTAATCATGTCGTTGATCTCAATATGTCCAGTAGTAAACCCTACAACATTTGAGGGTGTAGAGGTGGGAAGCAAAAAAGCAAATTGTGAACCAATTGCCCCCGGGATCATGAGTAAGAGGGGATGAATGTGCATAGTCTTCGCGATCTCAATGAGCAATGGGACAATAATGGTTGTGGTGGCATTGTTAGACGTGATGAACTCGGTTAGGGTCCCACTTATTAAACATACAGCTGGCGCGATGGCTAAGTAAGGCGCGTTTTCCAAGAAATTTAGGGCTCTTGAGAGTACCTCAGCTAGACCACTTGACCTAAATCCATCAGCTATTGCAAAGCCTGCCCCTAATAGAAGAATTATGTTCCATGGCAATTTCTTGCATTTGTTCCAATCCATTAATTTCTCCCCTGGTTGCTTCTTGTTTGGAATTATGAATAATAAGGTTGCCATCATCACCTAAAAAATTAAAAATTAAGATCAAACATCATCAACGACATATTCACCAGACACGTTTAAGATTAAAAGATTGAACGACATCTTAGTACATTTTATATATCTTTTAGTTTAAGATCACACAACTCAAAAGTCTTTTTTTACTTTCTTAAACTTTGTGTCAAATCAAATTAGACAAATAAAAAAAGTAATAAGTAATGATGTAGCTTATATCAACTGATAATACAATAAAATTTACTCATTAGGGTAAAATAACTTGTTTTAATTTTTCTTTCTTTCTCATTCGAACGATTTGATTAAATTTGAATTCGCACGTGACAGGTCGGTAGTACTTACACTAACAGTTCCATCACCAGCACGTCCACCAAAGAGGGATCCCCATCCAGGAATATCTTCAGTAATACTTCTTGTCATCCACAACATTATTAAAATCTGTAATAATTAATTAATAATATTAGTTTAATTAAACATTTAATCACAATTCATTATATAATATAATAAAGGGCAGTTCGGAGCATAACAGTGGCACTCTGAGAAGTATAACATAGACCATCTATCCTAATACAATTATTAATAATGATTTTTATGACTCAAAATAATTTTACAGTTACTCCAAAGCTCTCGTTATCTTATTGACTCACCGAAAATACCGTCAAGATCATCTTTTCAGCAAAAGTCATGGGACCTACACATCACAAAAGTGGGGCCAAAAACATTAGAAGTTGTTTAAAATAATTGCAAAAAAAGACTAATTTAATATCCATCAACATATATTATGGCTACAAGTGTAATGAAAAATGTGTGGTCAATGGAGAATATAATATGGTAGCTAGCCACAAACTTCAATTAATTGGAACACTTGTTGATTTGCAATTCCTTGTGGGAATCAAATACCTTTGATCTCTATGGTAGATATCAAAAAAGAATAAACAATACTCTAAAAAAGAGCAAAAAAGAATACAACTTTCAATATGATAAGTAAAATAAAACCGTATCAAAGTCTTAACATTTAAATAAAAAAACACTCTCAAAATTGACCACAAAATAATGGGATATAAGTTAAGGATAATGGAAAAAGACATCTAACCATCAATTCTATTTTTGTAACAAAACAAAGTGATTGCGTAACTAATAACTTCTCTTATTTTTATTTTATATCATTAATTCCACTTCTATGAACAATTATCAATACATGATTTAACCACCTTCCGAAAGTCTTATGATCACACAAGTAGTATAACATCAATATGTGTAAGACCATAGATACTAAAATTACTCCTTTTTGAACTTCATGCTGAGACGTCAAGTCCCATCACATATATGAATTAAAATTAAGAGACGTTATCTTCTTAAGTAATCTTATAACAAAAAAATACTTTTTAAAAATCCACACTAGTACTCAAAAATGAATTTTCGATAGAAGTTAAACTCTTAATAATTAGTTACTCCACGAAATAATTATGGTTTTAGAAGAAGTGATACCTAACAAATCAAGCTCCCTCTTCAAATGAGTTTTGTCCAAATAAGCAGAAAGTGCTCTACTTGATCCCTTCCTACAATAAAATAGGCAAAGAATAGCCCACAATGCCAAAAATATCACCAAAGCCAAAGGGAAAGCAAAAGATGACCAAGTGCTAAAACTTATAGCCTTTTCTTGAGGAAAATAACTCTTCCACATTCCAATCAATATCAAGTTGACACCTGTCCCGGTCAACGTACTCATTCCACCAATCGACGCGGAGTATATCACCCCTAAAACAACCGCTTTGCAAAAATTAGTGACCAAGTCATCGTCAAAATTATTATTCTCTTGATTCCGATGGCCACTATTGGTGCGAGACGGCAGTCGCTGCAAGATTCCAGTGGCAACCGGCATCATCATTACTGTGGCTGCACAATTGTGCAGCCACATGCTAACGAAGAACGTGGTGGCGCAGATCCCGAGGAGGAGGAGTGGTGGATTTAGTGGGTCCCCACAGAATAATAGTGTTATCTGCATAATTCATATGGCCCATTGCACGTCAAATTTTGTTTTAAAACAATAATTCAACTACTTACTAAAGAAAAAAGTATATATTGTGGACACGTAAGATAAAACTATTGCGGACACGTAAGATATATATCTCTATTATAGAAGTTTTAAATTTCAAAGTAAAGAGTATCACAAAAATTTCACCCCCACCCCACAAATCTCTCCAATCAAAAGAATTAACAGTATTCTCATTTATTCTTTGATGTGATTCAAATCTGTTAATAGACGCTCAACTATTCGAACAATAAATAAAGTTTTAGTGACATTTGAAACTCTATAATTATAAATTATAACTATTTTTCAAAAACAAGAAGTTCTAGTTCTCTCCAAATTAAAGCAAAACTTGGACATGGACCTTAAGAGAAGTTCTACACTGTTCTTCTCCTTATCCTAAAACTGACATACAACGATGTATATAACTTAAACTCTACCATTAACAGAAGTAATATTGTACTTTTTGAGTAATCGGACTATAAAATCTCAAAAAATAAGATAAAAGAAACTAGAATTACTCACGTTCAAGGCCAATCTTCTATGGATATTATAATGTTCAACAGCAAGTGCAAGTATAAAACTTCCAAGTACAAGTGCAATAACATCATCCATGTACGACTGAGCAACCTCGTCGGACGACGAAATTCCGAACAACGGGAAGAGGAACAACGGTGTCATGGAAGTTACCGGCATCGGCACCGCCTCCGATAACCACCACGTAAAGATCCATACAAGAACTCCCAACATATTTGCACTTGTTGATGGAGCATTTTCCATTTTGACAAATAAGCAAATAAATATACATAGTAAAGGTCCTAAAATTGTGAATAAATTCTTTAGTGTGAAAATTGATTGAATAAATGAATTCATACTTTGTGACCTATGAATTGGAAGGAGTGGTGTTTTTTGGTCATTATTATTTGTCTCATGATCTCCATTCATTTTGGAAAAATAGAAAATTGGAGAGAGAAGATAAAATTGTTTTGAGATGAAAATGTTAATAAAGTAATACCATGTATATATAGTTGTAAATGTGTTGTCTTTTCATGTTGGAATAAAAAAAGAAAAAAGAAGTAGGGTTGTTGTAGTGTATGGTATGTGGAATTAATAATTGAGATACGTGTGAATATTGATCCTGATTTATTAAAAAGATTCTTTTTTTTATTATTATTTTAAAAGAGTTGAATTCTTAAAAAAATCAAGAACCATACTTGTACAACAACTAAATTATGATATTCTTTTTAATGATTTTTCTCTTGATATCATCTTTCCTAATTTAGTGTGTATATCGTTAAAGCTGTGGGAAATAATTTAATATAACTTACATAAATCCCATAGTATAAGATCTAAAATACATCTTACTCCTACTCTTTTCTAATTTACAAAATCCCTTAAAGAATCATCCATTCGAATACATCACCCATTACTAACCTAGTCAGTTGCACTTAATATGGAACCTAAATGTAAAATTAATTCTAATCCCCAAAATCACGCTACAGATTGTTATCAATCTATTCAAACTGTAACAACTTCAAAGAATTGAAAATTCAAACTTTCATCTCCTTCATTTATGTTAATTTGATGCCATCATTATCAAATGGTTCAATTATACCATTTGTCCTGGTGTTCTGTTACTGATTTGACCGTTTCTTTTTATTGTTAGTTCAAACTCAGTTTGATGTAATTTTTTATATGAATATTTTTAAGATCATCAAGTTTTCTTGAATGAATTCTACTCCTTTAGTACATTTCAATGGTTTAATCAATCCTTATAGGCCTTTCCATCTCATTTTTTTTTGTTTTTTCTTCTTCAATATTCTTATTTTCTCCCTGACTTGTGCTTAATATTTTCGAATCAAAGATACATATATATGATATATAATCCAAAGATGGAAAGAAGGGACAGAGAATTTCAAGGAGAAAGAGAAGCAAATGAGATAGAGAGAGAAAATGAATACAACAATTTGAGAGATTGAGAGAGGTAGAGTTAGAATTTGAAGTGAATAATATAAGAGAAAAAATGAAAAAAATAACATTTGATCAATTTTAAGAAAAGATAAAAGGAATTGGAGAAAAAATTAATAATTGCTTATAGCATAGAAATACTACTTGAAGTCGTTACATAAATATATAACTTAAAATTCTATATCAATCTCTATTTATGGTATAAAGTGCAAATATCTGTTAATACCGACTACACGACTTAAATCTATAACTTATATATCAATTTTTCTTTTTACTATTGCCACATATATACTCATTCTAATGAAGCAATAATTATCCATTCCGTAGAATTGGTGATCCACCATGTCACTTGAGAACTATTTGATCGATGAGATAAAAAATAATAGTTTTGAAATTGAGGATTTTAAAAAAAATTACATGAAGTTTTTATCGACACGTAGTTAAGTTACCATTGACACGTAAGATCAATGTTTTATATGTCCAATTTAGGAACTTTCCTATTTTAACTTTTTCTATTATACTCTCCATCAAGCAATTTCTTATTCTTAGTACAATTATGCATGTATAAATATTATGGGGTAGATCTTGGGACCCACAACAAGCATGGTAGGATTTCATTGTGCCACGTCATAGGTGGACACTTGACATGTCATGTTGTATTTTGGAGAATCAAGTTTGGACACCTCATGACATGAGTTGGACAATAACAAGTGGAGCTGCCTCTTGTCCATAAGCGATAGGAGAAAGAGAAACGAGGGAAGAGATTATAAAATGAAAATAGCGTAAATATTCAATTCAGTTATTAAGATTCTCGATTATAGTCAAATCAATGTCAAATTCTCTAAATTAAATGTTACTAATAAGTCACATCTACTCTTACATTATTGAGCAATGGAATAATATCTAAAAGAAAATGATAAATAATTCATAAAAAAATTATGCAATATTAGTAAGGAGAAGGTTGAAGGTCGACTATGAGGGAGCTAGGTCCGGGCTCAAAATTATATTGTATATAAAAATTTAATTATTTTTCTAAAATATATATAATTTATATTAGATTTAATTTTTCCATAGTGAAAATTTCAGCTATGTGACTCATTAGTCGATAATGGACTCAAGCTAATATATATATATATATATTGATAAGGAACACTTTTCTCTGTCATTAATCTTATTTGGTGTGAATTTGAATTAGTTATGATAGGTATCCGAAGTCGATAATTTTGCAAACGTATTCAAAACTCGTTAATTGGTGATCCATTATTAATTAATAGCATGATTAAGGTTAAGTAATTTGACAGGTATGATTCATACAAGTGGCCACTTCTCATACATAAATGGATATCCACAAACCAAAGGCCAAGTTGAAAGTCATTTTCACAATTAATATTAGTAATTAAAAAAATTGGAATATTCAACTGTAAAACCAATGATATAGTTTCAAGTCTAGACAAAGGAAAGATGTTAGCAATTAACAAGTAATTGATAGTCATCCTAAAATTAGTTTAATTAATTATAATAAATCCATTTGAATATAATGCAAAACTTGTTATCCATCCGACTCATCATAGTTATCATTAGTAAGTTTGAAATTATATTTATTTAATGGTTATCGTCTTGTTTGTTATTGATATTTGTTTTTTCTCTATTATATTTTTTTTTTCATATTTTTTGATTTATTTTATTTAAATTAAGGGTCTTTCAATAATAATTTTACTATCGTGAAGTACGGTAAAATTGCTTGTGTATATTCCATCATTCCTTGACTATATATAAAACATATTGTTGTTATATTATTTTAATTGCAGATATAATACATATTGTTATAGATAATATATATTGTTGTTGGCTAACAAATATTTTTCAAGAAAAAATCATTTTCTAAAATAACCTGAAACTAATTATTGTAAAGATTCTTTTTCTAATCGTGGATGCCATAAGTTTTGAATATCAATATGGGTTTGGTGCAATGATAATCACTTTGATATTATATTTTCATGAAAAGGCATTGTATTTGTGAAGATGGACCATCAAGTAATTCAAACCATGTATCATACAATGTTGTGGGTCTATTATTTACATTTGAGAGAAAATTTGTGGACCAATTAATAAGACTTCCAAATAGAACTAAGGGTTTATGGTCCAATTTGAATTGTTTTTTTCTCTAAAATATAATCGGAACAAATTAGTTGATTTTTTAAATATCATAATCAAATTAAATTGATGAAGTCGATTTTTCGTCGTTTCAATTTTTATTGCTTTATTCAGATAACTTTTAGATAAATATTTATATAGTCAATTTGATTATTTTGTTTCGATTGTTTTATGCTTGATACCAAAATCAAGTCAAATTTATCTATGTTTAAAATTAAAAATTAAAATCAAACAAATCAAATGTATCGAGTTTTTTTTCCTTCAATATAATTCTATTTTCAATTTGATTTGATTTAATTTTCCATTTTTTTCGTAAATACCATACCTCAAACGTATATAAAACAAAAAAACTCCAATCTAATCCATTCATGCACCATTAAGGTCAAATAGGTCCTCTAGTTTTCTTAAATTGACCTTATCTTAAATATGACCACAAATAACGTCACATAACTCATAACCACATGAATGTTGTGGAGAAAGGGTCAATTATGAATGTTTCCATTTTCCTTTTTCCCCTTCCAAAATCATGAAATTTGCCTCCAAAATGACCTTTCAAGCCACCTCGAGCTATCCACTCTAACCTGTCTTTGCTTAACAACATTGCACTAATCAACAATGATAAACTCAGAATTTTTATATTGTAAGTGGTTCAAACTTTTAGTTTGTTAGATTGGATGCTTAGTAATTACCTTTGTATGGTATTACTAGTTTCAACACAAAAATACAATGTTCAAATAAAATACAAAAAAAGGCACACATGTGACATAGTATGTGAAGCAAGTCGAACTTTAATTTCATAAATTTATGAATGTGTTTGATATGGAGGAAAAGATCTATTTCATATTCGGTTGGTCAGAAATTTTGGAAAATATTTTTTCCAAAGAAACTAAGGAGTCGTTTTGTGGGATGTATAAGGTATAATAATTTCGAAATAAAATGTAGGATTATTTTTATTTTGCATTTGGTTGGAGGTATTAAGTAGTCCTTGGATTATTTATCTCACCATTTATACCATAGTGATGGTGGGATAAGTTATCTCATATACATAGTGAGATCACTTTTTCATGGATAATTTATCCCGAGATAAGTTGTTCCCAATCAAACAATTCCTAAGTTCCTTAAAATTGAGGAAGACTACTTTTGTAGTGGAAGTAGGGAAAACACTTCATTTTCACTACACCTAGTAAGCCCCATCACCACCAACCTGCACGTTGTTCTGGTTTCGAAATTAGAATACTCTCTCCTTCCTAATATCCAAATGAGAGCAGATCCTACCCCTACTTCCACCTACAATAGCATTTGTTTAGATTATATACAAAACATTTTACGATACCTATTTTTGCATACATACAGAACATAAAAATAAATAAATAAGAAATCTACTTATTTTCCTTCGTACTGAACGCACCTTTACGTCAATTTGATGCAAGCTTCACTCATTAAAAAATTCAAAACACCCCATTCAAATTTGACCAATTTTCACATATAGCAAACATAAAAATCATATTCGTATGTTATAACTATAGTTTGCATAATTGCGCTCCATAACAAATTTTATGTTTGCTATGGAGCTTTTGATTTGTATAATTCGCTACAAACATCCAATTTTATACAAATTGTTCAGTTTTGTAAATTTATTTATACATTGTAATTTGTATAATAAGATCTGTATTTATATATTATAAGTGTATAAGATAAAAATATATGTATTTGTATTTGTATATACACTTTTCTCTCGGTTTATACAAACACAAACGCATTTTATATATATTATACCGAAATGTATAAAATGACTAATTGTATACCGAATATGGCTAATTGTATACCGAATCAGATGGCAAAAAAAGGGGATGTTTGCTGCGAATTAC